CACTCTGCGTTCTCCACACCCTCACCCCCAGCTGCCTCTGATCGGCTCTCTGCCCCCTGCGATTTCCCTGTTCTGGACACTTCCTGTGAATGGAGTCCTGCAGTCTGTGGACGTGGTGATGGTTTCTCCCAGTCCCTCCGATGCTTCGGACCTGCAGCTTTGTGTGTGTGCCGAGACTGTGCTTGCTGGCCACACTCGTCAGTTGATGGCTGTGCGGGTTGTGTTTCCACTTTTTGGCTCTTAGGAATAATGCTGCTGTGAACATTGTACAGATGTTTGTGTGGACATGTTTTTATTTCTCTTGAATGCACATGTGTGATAGTTGAAGTATAGAACTTTAATTTTGATGAAGTCCAACCTTTTACGTTTGCTTTTGTTACTTGTACTTTTTTTAAATTATTTTTTTAATTAACATATAATGTATTACTTGTTTCAGGGGTCCAGGTCTGTGATTCATCAGTCTTATATAATACCCAGTGCTCATTACAGCACATACCCTCCCCAGTGTCCATCACCCAGTGTGACTTGTACTTTTGATGTCTCATCAGGAAACCATTGCTACGTCAAGGTCATGGAGATTATCCTTCTGTTTTCTACTGAGAATTTTTTTTAAAAGTAGGCTCCATGCCTAGTCAGGAGCCTAACATGGAGCTTGAACACGATGCTGAGATCAAGACTTGAGCTGAGATCAAGGGTCAGAAGCTTAACTGACTGAGCCACCAGCTCAGTCATGATCTCAGGGTCATGAGATCGAGCCCCACTTTGGGCTCTGCACTGGGTGTGGAGTCTGCTTGGATTCTGTCTCTCCCTCTGCTCCTCCCCACCCCCTCGTGTGCACGTGTGCACATGCTCTAAGTAAAAAATAAAATAAAAATTAAAAAGCACTCTGATAATCTGGGATTGGCAAATATATTTGCAGTCCCAAAGCCTTGACTTGGGAGGGGTGTGGGGCTGGAGGCTGCTGCCGAGGGCAGGGCTGTCCATCTGGCCTTGCTGGGCTCCAGAGGAAGGACTCAGTGATACTCGGCATTCTTTAAGAAGAAAAAGAAGTTCAGTTTAAAAAATAAAGACTGTCACTATTAAGTGTCTAGTTATTTGCAAACTTTGAGTGAAACATATCTTGGTATATTTTCTTAGGCAAGAAAAAATCATCAAGGTAAAAATTTGTTGACTTGTCAGGAGCTACTTGTACAATAGGAACAAATAGGAAAAAATGGTCTCAATTTTGTTTTTCTCATTTTGGTCTCTTTTTTTCCCTCCCTTAAGCGTTTTATTAGTTGATTTTGTATTATAAGTGGTGGTGGTGGATTGGCTGTATTCCTAGTGTATGGTTCGCGGGGCTGGAGCCGGTGAGTGGACCTGAGTTCCTTACCAGATGAGGCTGTCCTGCAGTAGCTGCACAGGTTTGGGGGCTTAGGGTTTATTATGTAACATTTATCAACTATTGTTTTCTTTCTTTTTTCTTTTTTCTTTTTATTTCTATTTCAAATTTTTATTTAAATTCTTAGTTAACGTACAGTGCAATACTGGTTTCAGGAGTAGAATTCAGTGATCCATCACTTACCTACAACACCCAGTGCTCATCGCCACAAGTGCTGTCCTTATGCCCATCCCACCCCCCCGCACACACCCACCCACCTCCTTCCATCAACCCTCAGTTTGTTCTCTTTCGGTTAGACTCTCTTATGGCCGGGCGCCTGGGTGGCTCAGTTGGTTAAGCGTCTGCCTTCGGCTCAGGTCATGATCCTGGAGTCCCGGGATCGAGTCCCGCATCGGGCTCCCTGCTCAGTGGGGAGCCTGCTTCTCCCTCTCCCTCTGCCACTTCCCATGCTTGTGCTCTTTCTCTCTCTGTCAAATAAATAAAATCTTTAAAAAAAAAAGTCTCTTATGGCTTGTTTCCCCCTCTCTTTTCTCTTTTTTTCTTCCTGCTATGTTGATCTGTTTCGTTTCTTAAATTCCATGGATGAGTGAAATCATACTTTATCAACTATTTAGAAGACTGTTTCATATTGAATTGAACATAACTTGTACATGTAATCATAGGGCCTAAGCAAGTTTATATCCTGTTTTTTTCTTGGCATTAGTTTTTCCAGCTACTTACATGGTCCACATATTCTTTTTGGAGGCAGTTCATTATTCTGTGATTGCAGTATTATTATGTATTCAGTAACCAATTGGTGCTTAGGACTGTTTTGCATATTGCATGTTTCCTGTTTTCCTGATAGCATCTTTGCACATAGTTTTCTATGTGGGATTACCTGGTCAAAGGAAGTCAGATATTCTGTTCTTTGGAAATACCTGTATCGGTTCATAGCCAGTAGATTTTCATGGCCTTTCAGCAGTGTATTTTTTTTTTTTTTTTTAAAGATTTTATTTATTTGACAGAGAGAGACACAGCGAGAGAGGGAACACAAGCAGGGGGAGTGGGAGAGGGAGAAGCAGGCTTCCCTGCGGAGCAGGGAGCCCGATGCGGGGCTCGATTCCAGGACCCTGGGACCATGACCCGAGCTGAAGGCAGACGCTCAATGACTGAGCCACCCAGGCACCCCAGCAGTGTATTGTTTTTTATCACTACTGTTATGCAGATTTTAAGGCATCTGTCTCAGTAAAGCTTCTCTCTTTGCATAGAAGATTGTACTTAATTTGATGCCTGTTGATGGATTTTAGTTTTAAACTGGCACGCTCAGAAAGAGATTCCTTCCTTCTGGGCAGACTGTGCTTCTCAGCAGGTGCATCCATTTGCAAACCCGGGGCGTGTTTGTTCCTGGTCAGAAGAGATGAAGGTCAGTGAAGTCTCTCCCCTTTCCAGAGAACTTGCTTTTAGCTTGTTATGTGTGAACTTTCTTAGTTTCCTTTAACCTTGCTCTGCTGAGAGCCACAGTCACTGTAAAATCTGTAACAAAGCTGGTGTTTGGCGGCACCTGCTTTGCATCTTAGGGGCACTTTGAAAATTACTCTTATGATCATATTCTTCTATTCTTCTGTTTTTTTAGTACCAAACATTGTGCCATGTAATTCCCCTCCATGTTATTAAGTCAAATAATATTCATCGAGCAGATGGATCTTGGTTTGTTGGTTTTTAACCCCCATTCTCCTATTACTGAGCATTTGTAATTTTGCCGTGTGTGTGATTTTGGGGTGTGGGTGGTGGCTGCTAGGGGTTATTACCCTAGAGCTGCGATTCCAGATGCAAGGGGAGGAACTTGGAGTGGTGGCTCTCAGACCCCGTGCTCAAGGACGCGGTCTTCCGTCCACGGGAGGGAACACTGTCCTCTCTGACGGCAGGCCCACCTCCCTTGTAACGTAGACCCAACCGACAGTTCCGCACGCCGTGCTGGACTCTGTCCTTGGTCCTCAGAGTATCTTACGCGCCATCCCTCTAATGGGAAACATTGTTCCGGATCCTGTGCACATCACGATTATAGCTCCGTAGACAGACCAGTTCATAAGAGTGTAATTGAAAGAGGATGTGGGCAAAAAGAAAAAATTCTTGTGGGTCGAATTACAGGTCATTTCTCCTTGTGTTTTTGTGATTTTCTGTAATGTTCTTTTATGGTCTTTGTGAGTAAAGAAAGAGGGGTTGGTCTAAACTGAGATGCACAAATGGGTGAGGCAGACCAGGTGTCCCGGGAATGCAGACCGTGAGAAGCGTCCCCGTGGCTCAGGTGGCTCAGGTTCAGCCGGGGGGGAGGGGACAGGAGACCAGGCCCTGGCAGGAGGCCTGCGGGCCTGGTGCCTGCCCCGCTCAGCCGCGTTGCGGTCGCAGGATGGGGCTTTGGGCCCCGAGCACGTGCAGGGACTGGGCTCCAGGAGCACTTCCCTCAGCTGTGGGAGCTGCTCGGGAAGACTCGGCGGGCATCCATTGAGGCCTCTCCAGGGACAGGGGTGGGGTGTCCTGTGAAAATTTCTCACTGGAAGAGAAAGGGAGTTACTCCTAATGAAAGGTATCCTCACCTTTTAGTAGTTTGACTTGAGACAACTTTTCTTCCTATTCTGAAAGAGGCTGTTAAAGTTCTCGGACCATCTACTGGATTGTCAGTCACTATTGCTTGTCAGTTGGGCCTACTCGTAACCTACGCTTTTTACGTTGCAGCCAGCACATTTTCAGACTTCAACTTCAAGATTTGATGTCCTGATCTCTTAGACGTTACGGCAAATGTGTAGAAATGAATGGTATTTGATTCAGGTTGGCCTCTAGAGCTGGGCTGCCTGGTGCAGTAGCCACTAGCTAATTGTGGCTGGTTAAATTTAAACAAAGGAAAACTTCAGTTCCTCAGTCGCACTGATAACCACATCTCAGGGGCTCAGTAGTCACATACAGGTGCAGCGGCCATGTCGGTTAGTGAGACAGAGTACGTCTGTGCCATCAGAGAAGGTTCTAACAGCGATGCTCTAGAGGGAACCACTCCCTTTTCTTTGCAGGGTAACATGCGAAATAATGGGCCAATGGGTTTATATGGTGTGTATCTTAAAGCTTTCTCTCAGCATATTTACAAATTGCAAAAGATCTCACAATGGAGGGAGAGTGCCTTTGTCATTCTTTGCAAATGGAAACATTCCGGGTGGGAGCGCCTGGCTGGCTCAGTCAGAGGAACACGCAGCTCTCAGTCTCGGGGTTGTGAGTTTGAGCCCCACATTGGGTGTAGAGATGACTAAAAAGATGTATACATAAACTTAAAAAGAAAAAGGAAAAGAAAAGAAAATACTCTGGGTGGACTCAGCACCTCTACTCATTTAAAGAAGCCTGGAGCTGATTCGAATGAACTATTCCGTTTTTGTTGAACCCCTTATTTGCATCTGCTAAGCTTACTTGAAATACTACTGCACAGCCACATAGACCTTGAAGGATGATCGCCTGGGTGGGGAGGGGGGAAGGTGGCTTGTTTGGTGTTGCTTAGTGTCGGGCAGGTAGGTGTCTGCGTCCTCACACGCCTGGCTGGACCACCTATGGGAAATGCACATCTGGAGCTTTCTTGACCCTGCCTGTTTCTTCCCTGTAGGAGAGCTGCGGCATATCACCAAGCTGAAGCCCTGGAGCCTCTTTGACGTCCTTGTGGAAAAGTACGGGTGGCCCCATGAAGATGCTGCACAGTTTACAGATTTCCTGATCCCCATGTTAGAAATGGTTCCAGAAAAACGAGCCTCAGCTGGCGAATGCCTTCGGCATCCTTGGTTGAATTCTTAGCAGATTCTACAAATAGAGCATTCTGAGCTAGCAAATGTTTTCCAGTACATTGGACCTAAACGGTGACTCTCATTCTTTAACAGGATTACAAGTGAGCTGGCTTCATCCTCAGACCTTTATTTTGCTTTGAGGTACTGTTGTTTGACATTTTGCTTTTTGTGCACTGTGATCCTGGGGAAGGGTAGTCTTTTGTCTTCAGCTTAGTAGTTTACTGACCCACTTTCTTCTGGAAACAATAACATGTCTCTAAGCATTGTTTCTTGTGTTGTGTGACATTCAAATGTCAATTTTTTTGAACGAAAAATACTTTCCCCCTTGTGTTTTGGCAGGTTTTGTAACTATTTATGAAGAAATATTTTAGCTGAGTACTATATAATTTACAATCTTAAGAAATTATCAAGTTGGAACCAAGAAATAGCAAGGAAATGTACAATTTTATCTTCGGGCAAAGGGACATCATTCCTGTATTATAGTGTATGTAAATGCACCTGTAAATGTTAATCTCCATTAAATATGGGATGGGGACTCAAATTTCAGAAAAGCTACCAAGTCTTGAGTGCTTTGTAGCCTGAGTTGCATGTAGTGGACTTGAACTGCTCCCAGGAGCCGTGCAGACTTTTCATTCCATAACAGTCCTTTTACGTTGGATTTTAAAGTGGCTCTGAGTTATGTCATTCCCTATATGGCACTTTAAAGCAAGAAAAGACATGCTTTCATTCTAAGATACGTATTATACTTTTAGCACTCCCATTCATATTTTTGCATATTTTTAAAAGTACTTTAAAGGAAAAAGAGCAATTTCCCTTTAAAAATGTGATAGCCCAGAACCATGTGGTGTTGCCTCCTCCAAACACTGTAAGTTAAACTCTACGTAGATTAAATCGGACAACAAAACCATGTGCAGTGTGTGGAATGAGAAAAAACAAAATATTTCTGTATATATATATTTTTTGGAAAAGTTTGCTTGTGTTTGTCCAAAACCCAGGTATGGTAATGCAGTTAGCAGTGCAGCAGGCACGACCCGAGCTGGCAGCTGCGAGGTCACCGGGATCACGCTCACCCCCTAGGCAGGGGGACGTGCGGCTGCAGCGTCGCTAGCTTGTTCATTGTCTTCCCCCCATGCATTGAAGTTGAGAAAACGATTTCCCTTTGCAGGTTGCACACGATTTTGTTTATGCCTTTCCTTAACGTTGTAGAATCCAGGACACAAACCATAGTAGGCAATACAATTTTAGAATGTAATATACGGAGGTGTATTTAGCCTCTTTTAGAAGTCAGTGGATTGAATGTCAGGTTTTTTTAAAATTTTACATTCATTAAGGTGCCTCGTTTTTCTTGACTTTGTCCTTTAACATTTATCCATATGCCTTTGCAATAACTAGATTGTGAAAAGATAACAAGTGTTGTAATAATAATCCATTGTTTGAGGTGCTTGCAGTTGTCTTAAAAATTAAAGTGTTTTGGTTTTTTTTTTTTTTTCCAGACATTGCCTTGGTCATTGGCCTATATTTGAAGCGGTAGAATCAACAAACATTTGCTCTCCTTTTAGTGTAGCGTAACCCAAACTAAAGGAAGTATCAACATTCCCGTTGCAGGAAAGGCAGCTGTAGAACATGCATTATTGCTTATTGTAAGGAAATCATTCGTTGTTTTGTAAGAGTAGAATATGGATTTAGAAGAATTGCTGTAGGACAGATGCACAGATGCAGTGATTGATTCTTTTTTATTCATGTTCCATCAAAAACATACTAGTTACATCGTGTTTGAGCATTGCAAATTTATTCTTTTTAACAGTATTCACCTTGAAGGGAACAAGACACATCGTTTCAGGAGTTAGCATGCTCTCACACATCGCTGTGAGGTTCCTTAGGCATTGTGCATGCCGGGGTCTTCTGACGAGGCTGTAGGTTGTCCTGTAGGTTCTACGACAGATGGTTGCTGCAGACCGTTTCTGTAGGAGCCATGCTCACAAGAACCGCAAGGTCTGTCTTCCCTAACTCTGAAGAATTGGTGTCAGGGTTTATAGCACACTTGAATGAAATTGATCCTATTAGGCAGTTTCGGCTCATGTTAGGAAATAAACTCGATTGTTAGGAATTTGTAAAGATCAGTCCCTTATAAAAGAGCCTAACTGGTTTACAATGTAAAAAAGTTGTTCTAGAAGGAATCTCCCATTTGTATTAGGTATAGTATGGTTTTTAGCAGAATCTTGGTGGCTTGATGATAGAGAATACTCCGCTGAATGGGCAGCAGTGGTTATGCAGCTCCCTGCCGCCGGCTCGGTGGTTTTGGTGAAGGTCCCGGCTTTTCCTCTCATTAGTCCGTGTCAGGTCTTCACGGAGAAGGACAAGCAGTGGATCGTGATGGTAGCAGATGAGAAGCTGGCTGTCTGGAAATTAGAACTGCTCAAAGGCCAAAAAAAGCAAATTTAAAGGCTTCAGGAAATCATAAACTTTACAGGTGAAAACTGATTTATTATTAACTTGCTGCTTCTTGTACCTGGATCATACCTAACTAGTTAAACACGATAAACTACTATTTCTCCTTGGGTAGAGAACTTCAGTTGAGATTATTCCTTAAATTCCAGTTTCTCTTCCATTGTTGTTTTTGTAACTTTTCATGAGACAGTATTTGAGAGTGTATGTGCCCTTCATCAAGGAGTCAAGGAACTACATTGGATTTTGCAGTCCATAGAAATGCTTCCCTATCAATTATTTGTGTAGTAGGCAGATTTATAACAGGAATTTTAAATCCTTAGAAGGCCAGTCCTTTTAAAGAGGTGAATAATGCTACTCACTGTGCTAACAGTTAACCACCTTTGTTCTGTGAAACCGTTGGGCCGGATGATGTAGAGCCATGTTTTTTTGGACAAGTGTTTCTCTAGTGAGTACCGTAGGTAGAACTTTGTATGCTAAGTCAGGAAGGGCAGAGTTGACCCGAGTTCTTTTAAAACTGGAAGCTGACTGGGATTGAGCCCTAAGTGCAGTTCTCTTCATGTACCGTCATTAGCTGGTTTTCATAAGGAAATGGACATTAAAAGTTACTGTAAAACATGACTTTCATTACTGCCAAATACTAATCCAGCCAGTTTTAGCTTGATGTTTTTCTTGAAAGCATTGAATGTATGTGCTGTGCCAGATTGTGAAAATTGGAAAAATGTGTTCATTACTTATGGTTCTACTTAATTAATCCTCCTAAGAGGTAGAAGACAAAGAAAAATTTATTTTTCCAAAACAAAAAGTAGAATTGGGTATTTCAGCAAAGTGTCCAAGAGGCTATTTTCATTTCACTTGAGAGCTTTGTAATGCTGTTTTCGTTTATATGCCCGAAACAAGACCTATTACTTGTTTTTTAATACTATAGCTAGAGAGTAAGTGTTAATTTTTAAGGTTTTCAAATAATTTTGATTCATCAGTAGGACGTTGCAGTCATGCATGTTCAGCAATGTACAAATGAGATGTGTGTTGTCAGGCAAAGCTACACCGTGTTTTCGAACAGTTGTCAGTTCCAGTCTAGAACTCGATCACATGTAATACTTGAACGATACGGGTTCACATTTTGTATGATGTCAGTTGGAGGTAGAACCTCCACCCAGCAGAGGAGTTTCCTGCAGCACTGACAGGAAGGAGCGCTGCAGGAACAACCCAACCCCTCACTGCCTCCTGATGTCCGCTACTGTCCAGCTGAGGTAGGTGTAGCTGAAGAAAAGGGAAGGCTACTGACAAACTAGAGCTGAAAAAAACGGAACTTTTGTAAAAAACAAAACAAAACAAAACAAAATTTGTTTAAACAGACTCCACTCTCAGAAGTTGTACAGGACAATTTGGTAAAACTGACATAATTGTGATTTATTAACATGAATTAAAATGCCCAACCAGTGCTTCAATGTGACAGTATATTTAAAATAAAAAAGAAATTAAAGGCCATATACTGTACTACTTTCACAAAGATCACACAGTTTTGCAAAGACTTGTCATATGTACAGTGCTATATATCAAATGAGAAAAGCTGTAAGCAATTATATACGCAAAAGAAATGCAGTATTTACAGTTTGTCAGGAGACATTAAAAATCTATACATTAAATTACATTTTGCTTGCAAATAACCGATAAAACAAAATGAGCCATGTCCACACCAAACTATAAAAATCTGTATTGCATTTTTTTTTTTTTTTTTAATATACCTAAGATGCACTCACAGAACTGCTGACAGGAGAAAAATGAAAATCCTCATAGTGCCATTACTTAGCTGTGTACTTAAATGCGTATGTATAAAATAATATAGAAAACATTCACTAAATGAATTTTAACTGCAACAATAAAATTTAAAGATCATGTAGCATCAAATCTACTGCCAGAAAAACAGCTGGAATGTTCACTTTACAAAATAAAGATACCTAATACTGGCTTAACAGCACATTTTTTAAGGAAATTTAAAAAAGCAAAAATGGGAAAAATACAATGAAAGAGCACTGGTGTTTTTTTTTTTATACAAAGTTTCATGTACAAGCTTTAAAAAGTACCTTAATAGGTACATATGAAATATACAGTTTATCTTACAGAACATTTTAAAAAATGTTTTTGGAGTCCATTTTAATGCCACCCTGAACCATGGTAATTGTTCTGAAATGTTGGTGGCACCTGTGCTCTGTGGATCGGAATCTGTCCAGGCACTGGGGATGCCTGCTGAGGTCCTTGAACCCCATGTGGCAGGGCCACAGAGCCAGGGTGAGGACAGAACCCTGAAGCAGTCGGTGTCGGAATACTGTTTGGTCCTTGGGGCTGGAGATGAGGACCTGCGACTGGTAATGGACAGTGTGGCCCTGTTCCAGAAGGCTGGTGTTGGGGTCCCGGTCCCAGAGTGGTGTGATGTGCGGCTGGGGAGGGATACGGTGGTACGGCTGGATGAGCACTTGCAGGAAAAAGTGGAGGTCCTTGATGAGGTGGATGGTGTAAGGCTTGAGCAGAGGGGGGATGGTGCCCAGAAGCCAGGACACTGGAAGGTGGTGGCGGTGGCGGCGGGGGGGGTGCTGAATTGACCACATGCTGGTGTTGTGCTGGTAGACCTTGGAGTCCTGTAGAAGGATGGGGTGGCGGGTGGTGATGAGGGGCAGGACCGGGAGGTGGCGGGGGTGGTGGCAAATGGTGTCCAGCGGTTTGAGAATGAATGTGAGAGCCGGGGGTGACCGCGTGAACAGGCCCTACGACGTGAGCGACAGAGTGCTGCTGATGGGAGCTGGGCTGCGGTACGAGGTGTGGCCCGGGGGCGGGGGGCGGGGGGGGCGGGGGGGGCACCACGGCCGGGGCAGTTTGATGGTGAAGTGGAGGGTTTGGAGAAGGCAAGAAATGGCCCGGAGTGACGTGGTGGCCTGGAGCGGGCTGCTGGCTGCTGGCGCCCGCAAGTGCTTGATTTGGTCCCGATGCGAACACGGCCTGTTGGGAAAGACCACCTTTAAGCTGGTTGTAACCCTGAAAGTTTGCGGAGGGCTGCTGGGGTTGGTAGTACGAGGAGGAAGACGGCGGCGGGGGGGGCGGGGGGGGC